CACCTTTCCCCCTGAGAATCCCAAGACACCAGGGCACCCATTCCTTGCTCACTCTTGTAATGTGTCAGAAATAGCTTCAAAATTCTTCAGCCTGCTACATTGCAGAAAACTGAAGAACCTGATAAACGTCTGTTTGGCATTTACTTTTTAAAAAATATTTTGGACACCCTTTCTGTCCAAGATGGAGTGTATGCAGTCCAATTGCAGATTCCTAAAGTGACTTGATCTGTCTTTCCTGCCCAGTCCTTTCCTGACTGGGCTTTTGATTCCCATGGAACACAAAATGGAAGTAACATGCTTTGTGGTTTTTGTCTTCCCCCAACTTCCATCCCTGTTGATTTTCAGCTGTATAGAATGGTGTGTAGATTCCACAAAGAACTGTTGTCTGAGAATGGTCACCGTCTGCCATATCACTTCAACCTTGCTGCTGCAAGACCCCCCACCCCCCATATAGAAATCATCACTTTCTCCTGGCTAATTTGCCCTGTCACTTTTAAAAAGACATCAGACTTAGGTCTTTCTTGCAAAAACAACAGAAGTTGGTCTGCTTCACAGATTGAGCTAGCCCACTCTCTTACTTTCAACTCCCTCACACTATGATGCAGCTCTTAATTTACTGTTGAGGAAACTACAGATGCTCACCTGCACCTTGAAAACATTTATTCCTTGCTGAAATGGTCTATTTTATATGCTTATAATTTGGACACCACCAAGGAAGCTGTCCTGCAACACCAACCACAATGATAGCTGGGTGAAATCTTCAATGCTCTACATACAAAGTCCTGATCTTGAATAACGTCTTCAAATTTACAGGCACTTATTGTCTTATTTTTTTAGAAGGGAATATGTACCCTTCTTGGTAAGTCATATAAGACTGGTATCAAGCTGTGGCAGTATCATTTTGATTTTTTTTTTCAGTTGAGGTGCAAGTTATATAGCATAAACCGCCATTTAAAATGTTTTTATTACACTTATCACAGATGTGTATTTGAAAATACCAGCGATCATCCCTATCTAGTTCCAAAATATTTTCGTCACTCCCCCAAATGGACTTTGTTTCCATTAAGTATTCTCTTTTACTACCTACCGGATTCGTTCATAATAATCACTGATCTGCTTAGGTAGATTGACCAATCTTGACCATTTCCTAGAAATGAAAGCATCCAATATGCAGCCTTTCTCTGTCTGACTTCCTTCACTTGGCCATTGTTTCCAAGGTTCCTCCATGTTATAGCTCGTGCCATTGCTGCCTTGTCCATTTTGACAGGTGACTAATAATCCAGGGAGCAGAAAGACCACATGTTCTTACTCATTCTTTCATGGTTGAGTAATGAGAGACCACTGGGGGCGAAGCTAGCTTGTGCTTTGTTCTATCCCCACAGTTCTCAACCTGTGGGTCATGAGTACTTTGGGGTGGAAACATAAGGAAGGTTGAATACCACAGTTCTATATTAAGCACTGAGTCACCATGACCGAATGATTGAATAAGAAATATCTGAAAAATTATACCCATTTTGCCACGGGACTCTATGGTGGGGAAAGAGAATATAAATTCTCATTTTGGTATGTGTTTTAGCTAGTGTTTGTGCTGATAGAGTTAATCAAAACCTCCCAGCTTTGTTTTTCAAACAGAGGCATATCTGTTCCTTCAGCTTTGAGGTAGGGTGTGATTGTCCCCCCACCCCGTCATGTCCCCAACATGGGATTTTACATTTCAGAAGCAGTTCACTAGACAGAATGTCTGTAGTGGAATGTTACATAATTCACATTTAGACTTGAAGAGCTCATTATAAAAAACCTGACACACTTCAGAAATATTAAATTACTGCAGATTGTGTGGAGCAAAGAAACATTATTGAAGCATTTCAAAATTCCAGACGAGCCTGAATTTAACTGATAGGGTTTCACAGCTTTTACTGGGGGAAAATGATTTGAGTTGTCACATGGTTTCTGGCCCCGAAGGACTTTAATCTCCTTAATTACAAAGAAATGAATTTCCTAAATAATTTGGAGTTACTTCACAGAATTCACTCAACCTCTGGCTTTTGGAAAATTAAAGGGGATGGCAGGCCCTTGCTGTGTGCATTCACCACCACAGCTTTCCTATTTAAGTTTCCATTCAGAATGGCTCTGGTGTTTCCTGCCGTTGATACAGGGAAGCACTTCAGAGTCACAAGGAATGCTCACAGCATTCAAGTGGCTCACATTTTGCCAAAAAAAAGGACTCCAGATACCCAGGGGAAAAGGAGAAGGTGCTAGATTTTGCCCTTTGAAGTGGAGGGAGAGAAGAGAATCCAAATTCTATCCGTTTTCTTATAGTAGCTTTTAACATATTCAGAATTGCATAAACCCATGTCTGTAACTTTCTTTCTGTATTTAGGGATTAGGCACCTACTGGATACAGGGCCAGCAGGATGACAAGATCTGATGTCCTATCACTTCCTATACTTTGTTCTTTCTCAGAAAGCAGACTTAGGCTGTCCCAGTTTCCCCTGGACATGTGCTCTCATACCAGATATGAGGTCTTGACCAAACCACAAAAGAAACTATGACCTCATATTCATGAAGTGCTTGATAAGGGCATGTACTGGCCATCTTTCTGTCTTATGACAGTTGTGAGCCCACTTAGTTGCACAGTAACTTCATTGATTTGGCCACATAAGCTCCATCATCCTGGTAAAGAAACTGAAGAAGGGAAAACTCAGTGACTTCTTTAGTGTCACACAGCTGGGCAGCTGGTGAACCTGGGCTTAGCCAGAAATGATCTAGATGAAAGAGACAGACTCCATTTTACTAGAGAACTCAGAACTTTTTCCAACTGGACTGTCTTTTTTGAAGTGAGCCTCAAGGGGCTGGATGAATGTCAAAGCAGACCCAACAACAGAGACCTGATGGCAAGCAGAAGCAAAAGGGAGGGGTGGGAAAAGGACCCCCAGTGAATGGCCTTCCTGCCAGACTTGAGCTTCCTTTCATTCATTAGATTCTTATTTTCTAGTCTCTTTGCTATTTCATATTACAAGCCTTCCACCCATAAAATGATATTCATTCACTTAGGTATTTGTTCTACATGGGCTTGGTGGAGGGGGGGGTCCTTTCCACTGTGCATGTCCTTGCGGTCAAAGCATGTTTTTTTTTTTTTCAGGATTGTGCAGAATGGGGCTAGTACCATGTGCAACTTTAATAGCTTTGCAAGGAAAGTAAACATTGCTCCTTTGTGCCCAGCATGTCTGGCAGTTTTATCTACTTTGGTCCTGCCCATGGATTGCTGTCCTCCATACGACTATTTCTCCTGCTAGGTCTCACTTCTTTGTGGTCTAATGGAAGGCTTTGCTGATTCCTTCCTGGCCACCAGAGTGGCACGAGGTTTGTTTACACCTGGTCTATACTAGAGTCTAGTAATTATTTATTGCAGTAAAATGGTAGATATTAAGAATATGTCAATATGTAACCAATAATTGTTATTCTGCTGTCCCCAGAGCTGTGTCTTTGGGAAGAAGGAGTTGGCATGCATTAATGCCACAGAGATGGTGAAGACAGTCTCATTTTTTAATGTGTGGTTTCAGAAAGTCCATTCTACAAAGGCAATTATCTCTTTTACCTGTCACCTTAGATCCTCTAATTCAAGTGCTTACATACAGAGATAGTGTACTTTGAAAAACATAATTAGGTTATTTTAAAAATCTAACCAGGTATCTCTGGATAAAGGTGGACATTGCCTCACAATTAAGCTTTAATGTAATTTTATATACCTTTAATATTAGGCCTTATAGTTAAGCCATCTTTAATTGTCATGATTAACAGGGGTAGGTCATTAGTCTTTCTGAGCTGCAACTGGCTTTCAAGGTCAGCACTCTTAGATTAAACAATTCTAATTCTGTGGAATGAGCTAAAAATTGGTCGCACTATTTCAAGAACCATTTCTAGTAGCTTTTTTCTTAATAATATTGAATGTGGATAACTAGTGAGACATTTGTTCTCAGTGGATTCTCAGCTACAACTGTCAGATAGGGGCTGGCAAGGAAACTATTGACAAAGGCAGTACGTTTATTCAATTTAAATGAGATCCAAGGCGACAGTGCATGTGCAGCATTGAGGTCAGAGTATTGAGTGTATCTAGTAAGTGCATAGTAAATGCTAACTGTAATTGAAGTGTCTGTGTTGTCCTGGTCATCATCACTCTCCTCCTAACAGCATCCATTCTTCATAGTACTCAGTATTGTGCAACACTTGCCTTCGGAGAGACTCAGTGAACAAAATGTGTGTCTCCTACCACCATGTCTTTCCCTTTCTTTCCCCACATTAAATGCTTGTCTGCTTTTATAGCTAGGCGAAAAGCTGACATAAAAATTGGCTTGCTGCAAAGTTTCTCAGCCCCATTTGTCTCCTTACCCTTGGAGCCCAATTGCATGTCAACTCTGTGTCCCCCTGATGCCCGCCAGTGAGGGACACACTGCAGGTCACTCCCCTATGATCTGCCTTAGCTGCCCAGACTCTGATCAAGCTTGGCTGATAGATGGATGGCCCATTGTTGAAAATGTCTCCACGGGGCTGGTCAAGAAATATGTCTTTGTGACATTTTCTGGGTGGCATCTAGTGTTTGGCCATCAGGAACATGAGCAACCAAGGGCTGGGGTTCGCTGCTTTAGAAAATTTAAATTTCTTAGCTTGCTAAACTGTTTGGCAAGGAATTTTCTTATTCTCATTTATGATAGACACCCCATCATGGCTTTATGAACTCAGATGAACAAATTTGCCCACAAACACCAAGATGTTCTTGCTGTTGGGTGTTTGCTGGTTCATGCACTCAAATTTGCATTCAGCCCCAGCAGGACCTTGATTCTGAGTATTCTTGCTTTGGTTTGCAGCACTCCGAAAGAGTGAATGACATGCACGGCGTGGGGTGTCCTTTCTGAAGGGAGGAGCCTTTCTCTTGGAGAGGATCCTCGATGAGCCTGGCCAAGGCCCGGGGTCTGTGTGAAGAGGACTAAGGATTAAGTAGGATGTCAACTGAGACAGAACTTCAAGCAGCTGTGAAAACCAGCACCAAGAAAGACTCCAGGAAGAAAGGTAAGGCTGACTTTGCGCTCTTTGTAAGATTATGCAATCGGTGTTATTTTTATGGTGATTTTGTGCTCATATTTTGATGGCTGTTATTTTCCAGGTACAATCCCAAGTTTTTTGGAATGTCTTCTAGCCATTTCTCCATAAAGATTAACCCCTTTTGTCCCCAGGCGCCAACTGTGTTCCCCCTCCAGACTTTCTGCCTGTTGGGTTTCTCTTTTGCCTATTGCCTTGGTTCTCAAACTCTGACCTAAAATGGCTCCAGAGGGCTGATTAGGGCAGACCTCTGAGTCCATCCCCAGGAAGTGCCTGGCATCTGTAAACTGCACCGCTAATGAGTTCCCAGGCAATGCTTGTCTGGAGGCCACACCGAGAACCAGGGAGCCATCAACAGAAAGCCTGTTCTTGCTCATTGACTTTCTTACACACATCAGTGCCCATTGTCCAGGTTGGGTTTCCTGCATCCTTCTGTGAGAGGCTTTCCTTATTCCCTGTTGGAGCTGGCAGCTTATTATTTTTTTTTGATTCAGTTGTGCTTTGGTACTGCTTCACTTTATCTAAAATGCCTTATGTTTTTGAGTCATCTTGAGTAGCAGCTTATAGAGCTAGATGCCATGTTCTCCCCAGGACTCCCAGCACATGAAAGTACTTGGTACACAGGTAACTGGTGATAAAAATTGACATGTCCAGAGTTGTTTACAAAGATAAGTCTATCACTGTTCATGTTTTGAGGGAACATGGCTTTTATTAATATGCCTTTTATTAAGTGTGTACCCTTTGATGGTTGGAAGTGTAAGTGTGCTCATTGTGTGTGTGTGTGTGTGTGTGTGTGTGTGTGTGTGTGTGTGTGTGTGTGTATGTGTGTGGTCTGTGTGTGATGGGGATGTATGTATGTGGGGTGTATGTGCAGGTTTAGGTGTGGTTTATGTATATCTTCCTGTGTGTATGTGTGTGTATACATGTTTGTGTGGTATGTGTGTATTGTGCATATATATATATATATATATAGAGATTAAAGGAGTTCTTTCAGGATTTGAAATCTATATGGGTTTGCAAATAAGGCTGCCCTTGGCTTCTCTGTGCAGACAGTGATTTGTTGGAGACATCACTGTGCCTACCTAATCATGTTTTGTGATGGCATTTGTCTGGTACCCGTGAAGCATAGGGCATAAATGGAATCCACTTGCAGCTCCTGGGCTGTCAGAACTCCAGGATGAACTATAAATTTTGCGTTTGATGTTTATTTGAAACACAAATATTTTGGAGACAGTCTATTTTATTGCCTGAAACTTCATGTAAACCTTGTTTTTTGTGCCTCCCAGTCTAAGAATAATAGACAAAAAAAGCAAATGGGCAAGGGAACAGATCTTGAGAGACTGCTGTGTGGGGAGAAGGTTGGGATGTGTGTCCTAAAATTCAAATGCTTTTGCAATAGGAACTGACAAATTATATTTCTGCTTCAAAAGTAACCATTCCACTAAACTTGTGCTCTTGAATGCTTAATGCCTTAATATTTTATCTTAGATAATTTTTTTTCTTTCTTAGTTTTAATGTATAAAACTCAGGAGCATTTTGAAGAGAGGATCTCCTAAGAATCTACATCAGTAACAAAAAAGTATATTGGAGGAGTTTCACCCATTGCTGAGATCTTGGAGTCTGGGCAGGCGGGCCTAAGTTCTGACTATGCCACTTCCTCCCTACCCGACCTTAGACTGTTCAGTTCACCTCCCCGAGCCTCAATTTCCTCTCCTAAACCATAACGTAGGACAGTATATAACTATATAGGTTAATTTAAGGAAGGCAAATTAAATCCATAGCCTAGAGCTCGGCATATATTGCCTGTTCAACAGAAGTTGGCAGTTGTCTCCTTATCATTGTCTCCCTTTGCTCTACATCCTCATCTCATTTTCTTTCTTCTCTGTCATCTTTCCATCCCTCAACTTTATTTTTATTTCCCTCACATATCTTGTTTTCATCAGCTTGAGCTGCCCTTACAAATAGCATAGATTGGATGGCTTAAAGCACAAACGTATTTCTTACTGATGGATGTGCTGGCATATACCTCTAGGAATAATATCCCAACAATCTCTGTCCTCATGAAGGCGCCCATCCTCGTTGTAGATGGCCTCCTTCTCACTTGTCACACAAAATCCAAGAGAGTCTCTGCCCTTCTCTTCCCTCCCATTCCTTTCCCTTCCCTGCCTCTCTTCTCCCATTTTCTCCTTTTCTCCCTCTCCACTCCCTCACAATGCCCTCTCTCCTCCCCTACTCCCCCTTCTACAATTATTCCTATCATGAAGGTCCTGCCATCTTTTCAGGTAGCTCCTTTGTCTGTGTATCCATCCGCCCATCTACCCAAAATACCATCACACTGGGGTTTAAGCTTCATTATATGGATTTTGATGGCACATAACTAACCAGTCAATAACAGATACTGCTTCATTTTCTTCCTCCCCTCTTCCTGTATCATTGTAATTATCACCACCACAGGTTCTTCTTTCACATTTTATAGCAAGGGAGCTTTTAACAAATGTTACTGATTTATCTCAGAGAATTATCTTATAATTACTTTTACTTGTGCAAGAGTGACAAGCAATCTTTATTTCAGGTGCATTAGTATAGACAAAAGCACCATAAAGGCATACCAGTGTACTAAGAATAGAAAATGAATGTGTAGTAACAATATTCATTCATTGCTTTGAAGAATCTGATAATATAATATGTATTCTGTTAAATGGATGCTGCTATGTTGGTCAAAATAAATAACTTTAACAGGATAGTTTATATATTAATCTTGAATCTTGAACACGCTGTTATATTCTTTAACTGATTTTTGGATTTTTATAGAGTCAACATAAAATACGAAAATGAAGTCCTCAAGTACTTTACCTATTTTTCCTGTCATACTGCTTTGGCTGAGGCTGTCAGGATACTATTTATTAATAACTACCTTACATTTGGTCTGGATTAGTGAAAAATATTTAAAATTACATTTAAGTATTTATCTTTTACTAAAGGTTCATTATTAGTATTTTTATGTATTTTTAAAAGAAGTTGGATTTTCATATGTTTCTGTGCCCACTTCAGTGATTGTGAAAATTACCAGTAGATTTTCTCACCTTCAGTTCCTGGGTTAGCTTTACTTGGTCACAATGTAGTATGTTCTCTACCCTATGGGCTATGATTTCTTAAGTAAAGACTTTTTTCATGATATAATTTTATTTTTTGGACTACTTTGTAGCTTGTATTATTCAGTTATATCCTCATATACAGATACTGACAGAAAAGAAGCAATGAATAATACGTGGTCCACTTTCTATAAAAACATATTTTAGTCATTTAAAAGTTTTAAAAGTTATATGCACTTGTTACAGAAATAAGAAGAGAAAAATGCATTTCATGAACCCCAAATTAGGTTCTATTAACATTCTAAAGGATTCCATTTTGTATTGGTGCACCTCGATAAACATGACTGATAATATACAAACTGTACAATTTCATATCTTGATTTGTGATCTTCCATTAATTTCCAAAATTATTACATGATTTTACAAAATAAAAGAGTTTCTTTTTATATTTTGTTTTGTTTTGTTTGCCCCCAAGACACAATTGAAAAGGATACTAGGTAAGATATGAACACCTTACCTCATGAAAGCTAAGTTTATTAGAAGCCTGTTGGCCTGTTCCTTCAACCTAGACTGTGAAAGAAAGCCAGGGCTAGTTCTTTTAACTTAATTAGCCTGTTTCTCTTTATTTACCTTTTTGCTTTGGGGCTTTTTCCTTTTCTTTCTGTATATTTTACTTTTACAGCTTCTTGTGTCTTTCTGGCTGGTAGCTGTCTGTTCTCAGGCATCTTTCTCATTCTCTCCTCTTCCTTCCTCTCTCATTTGTCTCTGGAGCCCAGATTTGTCCTCCTATTTATTATCTCTGCCCGCCTACTTACTGACTGCTCAGCTTTTTATTAGACCAATCTGGTACCTTAAGCAGGCAAAGTGAAACAGATGTAACCCATCTTTACATACTTAAACATAGGTCCTTACAAATGTAGCATAAACAAATGTGACACATCTTTTACGTAGTTAAATATTCCACATCATTCAGGTTCCTTACCTGCCATCAAAAGGAGAGTCAATTGACTCAATTCCTGCTGCTTGAACCCACACTATTGTGGTACCCAGTAGAAGCCTATCGTGGAGTGAGGGGTCCTGTGACTAGCAGACAGGTGTTTCAGCTGTCAGCAACTGGGTTCTGCTGCCATCTGGTACCTGAGTGTGTAGTAAGAAGCACCTGCTTGGGTTCTGAAAAGAACTTGTGTTATAGTCCAACTCCTCTCCTTAACTGCTGAGTAACCAGAGAGGAAAGTGGAGTGTCTTCAAACCTGATTTTACTTATCTTTAAAAGGCTCATGTGTACACTGTTAGATAGGAGAGGTAGACATTTGGGAGTTATTGTGGTTGTGGCTTAACCATTCTAACTTTTCCCTCTCTGTCTTTCTGATGTTACAATCCATCATTGTCTCCTTTTAAAGAAACATCTGCAAATTTAGCATACTATTCTTTATTTGTGTTAGAGGTTTATCCTGGGGCTAGCAGTTAAAAACAGCAATGATGAAGACCTGACTTACTTCCAGTAGGATTTTAGGCTCAAGGCTCCAAGAGGATCCAGATCGAAGAGGTCTCTGTACCAGGCTCATCAAAATGGATTAGAATCCTAGCCAGTCTGTGTTGAGGGATGGTTTTGGTAAGGCCAAAGTCGGGGTCCTTACTGGTCAGTTGCACTTAGGAAATAGCCTGTTGGTATTGGCTGAGCACTCTATGGTTTCTATAATGACATCATATTCCTTAGCCTGTTAGAACTGCAGGACACAGAAGGGAATATTTTCAAAATAATTTTTGAAGGTTCTCATCTATTGTTACTTCTATCTATTGCTCCTGGCTTAAAGTGGTGAGGGACATATCCTGTAACCCACTGAGATACTGGATTTGTGGTCACCCTCAGGCCACTAC